AAAAAAACTTGTTCCTTCCCTCAACTATCTTTAACGATCTGAAGTAGGCACCGTTTATGGATGAGGAAACAAACCCAGAGAGCCTGTGCAACTTACCCAAGATTACACAGTCAAGAAAAGATGGAATTGAGATAGGAACAATTCTAATGCTGTACAAACCAGCCGGGGGCCTGGGCTGGGAGTCACCTCAGACCTAGGGAAGGCTGTGTCACACCCCTGGAAGCAGCTGACTCCTTATTCAGCAGTGGATTAGGGGTGTGCAGGTAGCCACACTATTCCAGGTGTGACTAGGCAGGTGGCTGCCTGTCTGTGTACCTGGGAGATGTCCCACATGGTCACCTGGCTGTCTTTGCCAACTTCAGCAGAGTTCTCCCGCCCAGCCTCAGTCAGTGAGAACCATGATGTAGGACCTGATGGTGACAAACGAGAAGAGGATGGCGAGTCTGGAGGGCGACGGTCAGAGGCCGAAGAGGGAGAAGTCAGGACCCCCACCAAGATTAAGGAGCTCAAGGTATGAGCCTGGCTTTCTCACGTCCTCTGACCTGAGAATGAGGATACTGGGTCTAGCCTCAGCCTTGACTTTCAAATACCCTAACTGTGGCCTCTATGGGGTACATCATAAACAGGGCCTGGACCTTGGGTCTTGTTCAGTGGGGACTGGACATGCTGAACCTGCATTCTTTACCTCCTTTTGCCCCTACTTCCTTGAGGGGCATTCTGTCCTCTGGAGGCCTCTCACTTCTTGCTCACTCCAAATTTGCCCCTTTCTCTCAAGAGCATGACAGGATGTCACTGTAGGCCACTGTAGTGTGTTCCCTCCTGCTGCCCTGTCCTTTTCTCACATACCTGTGCACACACTCACAGGCCTGCGTGGGCTCAGGCTCACCTGCATTTGCTCACAGATGCGTACACACCAGGGGCCAGTGCATACACAGTGTGGGGTGTTTCCATCAGGTAGTCTCATTGGGCAGCACCACCTTCTAAACACACACCGACAGCAAGAAGCATGAGTGCCAGACCTGAGCATCCATGCCCCCAGTGTGGCTGCCCTTGTGGCCTCTAGTCTGTCTACCCTCTTCTTTACTTTCCTGTATAACTCTCTGCTTCACACTTCTGACCCCCTGACCACCTCACCTTCCTGATGGTGGTCCACCAGCTTCTCTGGCCTCTGCCTATTGGGTGAGTGGGCCTGGGGCTACCTGCTGGACCCAACCCCCTGACCACCTCACTTTCCTGCTGGTGGCCCACCAGCTCCTGTGGCCTCTGCCTATTGGGTGAGTGGGCCTGGGGCTACCTGTTGGACCTGACACTTTGTGGTGTCTCTTATCCATTTGCTCTACTGACCCTGCTGGTTCCTTTCCCTCCTCCCATGTCCCGCTAGCCGGAGCAGGAAACCACGCCAAGACACAAGCAGGAGGTACTGCATGAGATCTGTCCCTCCACCCCAGCCATTTACATCTCAGATCATTTGTCACCATGCCCCTTCCCCATCACATTTCCTTCCCTAGCCCCCTTCCTGCCTACCCATCATTAAGCTCATCTATGCAGTTGCCTGCTCAGACCCCACCAGCCATTTCTCTCTCTCCTTACCTCTCCCTTTACCCATCTTCACTCTATCTCTCCAGGCCATCCCATGCTTGCTCTCCACCTGCTGACCATCAGTTGTTTCAGGCCATCCTGCACTCCCATCAAGCTCACCTCCCCTGCCCCCTTCACATTCATCTTCTCCACATTCATCTCTCTACACCACTGTTTGGTCATGCCACCACCTCACCTGTGTCCCATGTCTTCACCCTGACTTTCGTTTTGTCTCTGTTGGCACCCAGGTGTGGGAGTGGGGTGGGGGAGCCTCAGAGGGCATCTGCATCTTCTCGGACTCCAGTCATGTCTCCCTCCCCACTGCTGCCCCTGCTGCCTCCTTCCTCTCCCTCCTCCTATATGTTGCTTCCCTCATCTTACCCCTCCTGTGTTAACCACTTCTCTTTCACACAGTGTCTAGCTGTTCTTTTGAACCTTAACCACAAAAGAAGTGGGTTTGTTCTTCGGCCTCAAAGGAAAGAGTCAGAGGCTGGGTTTAGGAAGAGCCAGCTGTAGAGTTCTGTCATCTGGGTTTTGGTCCCCATTATGCCCCTGATTCTTCTTCCCACTTCTCCATCTGTATAGCAAGGCATTTAGACCAGGTTTCCCAAGGCCCTTAACCTTCAAAGATCCCAGCGCTCCACTGCTCTCACTATCCTTCAGGAATATCATGTGCTCACAACCAGCATGGCAGGTGTAGAATGGAAAACCTCAAAGTCATGTCGTGGGTCCACTAAAGCCCAAATCCATTTCCTGTGCAAATCCGTTGGGTTCCATTTTCAGACATTCTCCTGAGGCAGCTGAACGCAGGAAGGGAGACCAAGGGCACAGTCAGCCAGGAGGGAAATCAGAAGCCTCAGTAGCATTGGTTTCCTTCCTGGGGTAATTTAGAGGCATTCATAGTGGACCCTTGGATGCCAGAGATGAGCCCCATCTCGCCCCATTCAGGGAGAGGCTTCCCTCCCAACTAACTTTTCCACAGTCATCTAATCTGTCTTATAATAAACCGAGTTTGTCTATTTCTTATCCTGAATTTGTCAGGAGTCCTCAGGCAGCCTTGTTGATAAGGATCCTTGCCCACCCGCTCTGCCTTACTCTGTCTGCCCCTGAAGTAGGCAGACAAGCAGCTTTGGCAAGTGACTGCCAACTCCGTGCAGAAGTGGCTCCTTGAGTGATGGAGAGGCAGATTCTCTGCTTGCTGTGCTGCACCAGCCAGGGCTCACACTTGGCAGTTTAATGGGATACACACTTATGACTCCAGCGATAACCCTGTGCAGTTCTTGTGTCCAACCTTGGGCCTCACCTCTCTCCTTCCTGGTCTGAGATTTTCCTAATCCTCCTGAACACCTCACAGCATGTTTATTTCTCTCTCTGGTCATATCCCACCCTGTTTACTCTTGAAGAGTTGGTATCTGTGAGGTCTGTGGAAAGTATCCCAACCCTGGGTGGTTGGGAAAGTACAGAGGAGAAAGTTCAAAGTTTCTGGCCTAGTATGGGAGTAGGGCATCCCAGATTTAAGAGTGTCTGCACTCTAGGCCCCTAGAAGGCCTGAGCACCTGCATGTTGGGTTAGGAGGGGCCCTGGCAGCCAGAGGCAGAGACTAGGATCTGATGGCCAAGCAAGGCCAGAACAACCCAGGGAACAACTTGGGTAGTTCTCACTGTGCCTTGGATATAACCAGAGGGAAGTCACCTCTGTGCCAAAACTAGGTTTAGGGCACCACCAACAGGAACACCAGCAGATGGTGGTATTTGGACTGATTTGGTTGTCCCAAGTCTGGGAGCCAGGCCAGGGAGAAGAAAAGGTGATCCTTGACAGAAATCTCTTCTTAATCTTGAGTGCTTTGCTCCTCTTGCTAATCTTATGTGTTTTATGCACTTGTTGGGGCTAATTGTCCTTGTCCTGTTGACTGTAACCTCTATGAGGCTGCACCAGTGTCATGGATGCTAAGGTAGGACTGTGATTACCCTTGCTATCTTCACTGCCCCTGGCACCCCCTGCTTAGGGCTGTTCTTCTAACACAGCCCACCCTCTCCATCCATCCCTAGTTCCTAGACAAGCCGGAGGACGTCTTGCTGAAGCACCAGGCCAGCATCAATGAGCTCAAGAGGACCTTGAAGGAACCTAACAGCAAACTGATCCATCGGGATCGAGACTGGGAGCGGGAGCGCAGGCTGCCCTCCTCACCTGCCTCCCCCTCCCCCAAGGGCACCCCTGAGAAAGCCAATGAGGTAGGTCTCACCCTGAACCCCTCAACAGGGACCTTGGGTAAAGAGGCCTGAGAAGAGTGTGATGTGCTGACTTAAGTTCAGTTCTCCACCCTGTATGCACCCCTTCCCCAGTACAGCATGAAGTGGTAGTGGGGATGGGAGTGAGGTGGTGCGTTAGGCAGAGGAAGGCAGATTCACTGCATCTTGGAATGCTGGGGACCACCTTGAAAAACTCAAAAGACCCACAGTATCCTTCAGCCAGGGAATAATGAGGAGGGAATATTTGTTAGAAATGCAGATTTCAGACCCCACATTAGACTTACTGAATCAGCATCTTTGGAGGTAGAGCCCTGGAATCAGCATTTTAAATAAGCGCCAGGGGAATTCTCATAAACATTACACATGAGAACCTTCATAGTTTCATCCAATAGCTTTTATGCTTACTGTGGAAATGCAGATGGGGGTGGGATGTCCCTCCTAGAAGGAGCCTCAGAGCCCACTGGAGTGGAATGAATCCCCCCAGAAAAATCAGGCCTGTGATTGTTGCTTCAGAAAAGGATCCCACATGACCCGCCTTTTGCAGTGGAAATCATGGGGGTGTTTTCTCAATTGAGAAACAGATAAAGATAGGATCCTGAGAATTCCTGTATTTATAATCTCAAGCTGTTATTTTTAGGAATGCTAGATCTTGGCAGTATTTACCCCCACTTGTACTTAGGTATTTTTTCTCTAGCGTTTCTGCTTACTGGCCTCAAACCTGACTATGGTCTAGACTTACACTGCCTGGGTTTGAATTCTTGCTTTACTGTCTGCTAGCTGGATGACCCTGGGCTTGTTACTTACCTTCTCTAAACTTCTGGTAGGTGGTAATCATAAAGTGCTTACTTTGTAGGAAGGTTTCAAGGGTTAAATGGGGTACATTAGGGAGGAGCTGGCAGATTACCTAGATGCTCTTATTGTGAGCCTCTTATTGTTTCATTTTGAGGGGCCTGGAACTCTTGCACAAGTCCATTTCAAATCAGAATTCCTTTTAAAGTTGGAAGGACCCTTGGGTCCTGTTTGGTTCAAGATAATCATTGTAAAGGCAGGGCACTGGTGAGGCTTAAAAAGGGGAAGGACTTGTTCATGGTCATACTGATAGAAAAGGGGCCAGAACCCAATTTTCTGTGTCCTAGGCCACTGTATTTGCTGTGAAGTCAAAACTGCCTAAAAGCAAGACCAAATTATGTGAAGGGCAGGTATAGAGTCACCTGTGTGTGTGCTGCCCTCTAGTGCTTCAAAAATGGGTGAAGTGGCCATAATCTAATAAGCAGAGTGACCTACCCTCAACATTCCAGATTAGTAGGGGGCCTCATTCTGTGAGGCAGCAGTGGTAACTCCTGGCTATGGGGGCCACAGAAGGAGAGCATCCACAGAGGGCTTCTGTGGTGACCTCTGGCACAATCAAGATCCTGAAGACACTGTACTGGGTCGGGGGGCTCACCTAGTCATTAGTTACACATACCCCTTCTCTAGCCCCAAGAGAGACTTGACCCAAGTTGCCTCTCATTAGTCTGGGCCTGGGCGAGGTGGTATACAAAGACTTCTGAAAGGGTCAGACTCCAGCAGAGAAAGAAAGGGGGGACCTAGGAGTGGTACTCTGAGCCTTGGGGTGCCGTAGCAGCCTGGCTTGGGGTGTGGTCCTCTTGCTGGCCATAGCAGGAAGTGCTAGAATGTAGATTTTACCAAGAGGTGGAGTCGATTCCATGCCCACCAGTGTAGTCCACTGTTGGAAAAAAGTCCACCCAGGAGCTGACCTGGGAACAGTAGCCCACATTTAGTTGGCTTACAGGCCCCACTGGCAGTTAGAGGCCTGTGGAGATTTGGAAGATGGGGAGGAACCATGGCCAGAGGCTGGACTGATTGCTTGAATGAATGGCTTCACCTCTCTGAACCCCACTGCATAGTCAGTTCATTTAAAGGGAAGCCAAAATTGCCACCTACCAGGCTGTTGGGAAAGTAGAGTAAAAGTAGTGCCTGGCAGTCCTGGTGCCATTGCTGCTGGTAATGAGTATCCCAGATCACACATGGGCTATGGTGGAGATGTCTGAGTTCCTAGGAGTGTCCCATATATTTTTGAGCCTCATGTGAGTTAAGGTGAACTGTTGGGAACTTAAACCAAGAAAGGGATCCTAACTCTAAAGAAGCATTCCCATTTGTCAAACCTGGATTTTGTTTCAAAGATAACTATTTCCAAGGGCCTGAGTCCTAAACTTTAGGATTAAATTGTAGACTAAACCAAAGATGCCCACGGAGGACTTGGTGCCAGAGTCCAAGTGGCTCCAAACCTCTGGAATAAGAGCCACAAGCAATGAGGAAAGGTCCCATGCCACAGTCCTGCCTGGAAACTGATCACTGTGGGCCTCCCTCCCTTGAATGGCTCCCTGAAGGCAGGAAGTTCTTTCTGTACCACTCCATGACTCCCAGAGTGTAGCACCTTCATGATCTAATCCACAAAGCCTCAGGATATGGGATTGACAACACTGGACTATTTACAGACTCTGTGTGTGTGTGTGTCTCTCCTGCTTTCTCTCGCTCCCTCTCTGTCTCCTTCCCTCCCTCCCTCCTTCCCTCTCCTCTGGCCCTGGGCCTCCCCTGCAGTCCCAGAGGACCCAGGACACCTCTCGGCAGGACTTGGCACCTCAGCCTGGGATGGCCACAGGCTTGGAAGTGTTCACTCAGAAAAGCCTCGCCGCATCTCCTGAGGTTACTGTCATCACCTCCCTGCCCACCCAGAGCTCCACTAGTGATCTTGAAATAACCCTCTCTCCGGGTTGTGGGGGGTACCCTATGTCGTCTCCAGGCTGTGACTAGTGAGTGTCTGTCCCGGTGATCCATGAAGGGCCCATCCCTCCTTGTCTGTACCACTCTGGGAAGAGATTGGTCTGAATCACTTCTGGCTTCAAAGAGAAGCATAAATGGTCCCCTCTTGTGAATCGGGCCCTGCCTGAAGCAGGTGCTTTAGAGGCTTTGACTTCTAAGCTGGGAGTTTGGGGTCCTTGCACTAAAAACCATCTGCCCTGAGGGCTTATCTCTGTGTAGAAGTCTTAGTAAGGTCTAGCAGTGGCTAATTTAGGGGATGGTATCCCAATGGTACCCACTCCCATCTCTTTTAAACTTTCCTTGGAGCTTGGTCTGTCAAGCAAAAGTGGGCATCTTTCTCCAGGAGTGTCCTTGTAGTTATAAACACGTTGGCTAGGTGAATGAGGAGGGTGTTGCTTCTGGACTGAAAAATACTCACATGTCATTTTGGTCCAACTTCTCCCTGATGTCTGACCCTGCTGTTGACATAGTGTGTGTGAGGGCACTTTTCTGTCTTAATTAGCAGAGAAAAACGTTGTAGTTGTTGAAAATGTGCTGTATCTATAAAAGACATGAGTCAGTTACCTAAGGGACAAAGCATAAATCACAGTTCCAGTGTAACAAAAACAAAACTCCCTGTTCTCTCTTGAGAGAAGCTAGACAGGAGTCAGCAGCATCTTAAGGTTAGGGAACTAGAGATACCCTGCAGCACAGAACTGTTCCTAGAGCCAAGACGAGAGTCCATACTTAGAGGGAGGAAGCCCCTAACATTGCCCTTCTTCGGCACCCCTGAAAATTGCCTTCCAGCCTTTTCCAGGGGGGTGCTTAAAGTTCTTCATGGCAGCCCAATGATTTTATCTTCAGTCATCTATGGGGGAAGTTTTCCTGTTGAATCTAAATCTGCCTTTCCAAGTCATCTGCCTGTGCACCTCACTGTCTGCCCGCTGGTGCCGTGGATCTGCGTCACATCCTTCCCTGGTCAGCCTTTGAGGGTGAACACCTCCCCCCACTGAATACCCCTCCTTGCTTCATCAAGTTGCTCAAAGGGCATAGTTTCTAGAAGGTTCCTCTTTTGGACCCCCCTCCTCTTGGAGGCATCTATAAAAAACAGAGCTCCAGGTGGGACCTAGGCAGCCAATATCAGATCTGCCTGGCTGAGATATCTTGCTGACCCTTGAATTGCTCCACTCCCTCCCCCAGCTTCGGCTTCAGTCTGTTTTGCTGTCGTGCCTCAAGCGGAGACCAGGGGGCGCTCTGAGTTGAATGGCCACAGGCCATCCTGACCTGATCCCATCCTGTAAATCAGCCAAGAGCAGATCTGCCTTGATGCCAGTGAAGTTTTTCTCGTTTGCTCAGTCTTTTCTTCTCAGGCTCCTGTGTATCTCCTACATACTTCTGCTAATTAGAAGCAGAGCATCATCTTCTCTCACTATTCACTCTGATCTGTGCAAGTCGTTTCCCCTTTGGGAGATTTAATTTCCCCTTCTGAAGTAAGATTCACATTACCACATTCCCACAGGTTGTTAGTGCAATGAAATGTAATAATCTCAACAGTGGGCTGACATTGTGTGGCACATAGTAACTAAACAGAAGTATGTTTTCCATTTACTTCCTACAGAATCTTTTCCATCTGTGCCAGCTCCCACTCTACTCAGTCTAATTTCTAAGTTTCTAGAAACAAGTTTCTAGTAGACTTGGGGAAGGAATGTTCCAGAAGGGGGTCCATAGCCCATATCTGGTTTTCATTGCCAGGCTGATGAAGAGAGTACAGGCTGAAACAGGAGCAGCTAAAGGCACTTCCTTCCCACGTAGAAGTGAAAATAGACATGGCTTCTATAGACTCTCAAAGCCCATCTTTCTGGAATGGCTCAAGAGCTATTACCCTGAAGCCTTAACAAGCTGAAGTAAAATCTCAAAACCTTTGTCAGATTTTTTCTGAGCCTTCCCCCTTCCTTTTAATCTCTCTTTCCTTTGGCAAGATTCTCTAGATGAAGATGCATTCCCTCATAATCATGGAGATTTTGCTAAGATGGAGTGAGGGAGTCGGGGTAAAGACCTTTGTCTGTTCCCTGCACCCTCCAGAATCCTTCAGATCTTGAGGGACTCAACAGGCTCCTCATCAAGTCATACCCTGAGACAGAGTCAAAGGTCATAGCAACATACCCCCTCTTGTCAGGAGCCATCTTCAGCACCTCTTACTGTGGAGACTGGGTTCTAGACCTGCCCTTGCCACTTACTCACTCTCTGGCCTTGGGCAAGGTGCTGATCTTCTCTAGTCTTCAGTTTCCACATTTGTATCATGAGGGGCTAGAGTCAGAATAGCCCCTCAAAAGAGATGTGTTCCTCGGGGCACTAGAGCGGTCCAGGCCCCCAACTTCAACCGGGCAGGCTTTATTTGTGTGACATGTTGGACTTCCATGAGGATTTTGTGAAGAAAGTGTTCTGTGACCATAAGAAGATTAAAATTCCATTGGCCACCTTGTTTTGTTAACTCTAGAAGTTCATTATTCCCTCCTAAGAGGCAGGAGAGGGCTGATACCCATCTGGAGCTTTGGACTGATCACAATGCTTGTATCTTTAGATTTTTTTTCCTTCCATGATGTGCTCTGATTAGTCCTTTCATCTTTCTGTGAATATTGTTAGAATTTTCCAAGGACAGGCCTTGGTATTTTTAGGAATGAACCCCACAAAGCTTAAACTGTGGAATGACTGGCACCAATCTCTAGAGAATGCTATTTGGCTTTCTATTCTAGAAACTTTGCAGAAAGATCAGACTTTAGGCACTGGCTCATGGAACTGGACTCAGTACTTCCTTTCAGCTTGACATTAGATCACAGTTGGGAGCCATATTCTGTAGGTTATGAGGAAGGTGAGCAAGGATCTCAGGCATCAAAAATTAGGCATCCTTGTCCTGACTCTTCCATCAACTAATCGTGATCTTGGGTAAGCCACTCTCTTACTCTAGGCCTCAGTTTCTCCACTTACAAAATGAGGGGAGTGGACTGGAAGGTGTTTCAAGAGTTCTTTTGGCTCCACTATTGAAAGATTCCAGGTGATATAGCTACTGGGTCTGACAGACAGTTAATATTATTAACAAAGGAAGAGGAAGTGTAGCCCATTCATGGATCTCCATTTCCCCACTTTCCATGGTTAACAGAGGAAGACATGAGCCCCCATCCCATGGTGACCACACTGGGGAGGTGATTGAGGGGAACTGGTAAATAATGTGTCGGGTGTCTCAATGGGAAGTGTAACCTTGATGAAGCTGATGGGCATTACATCATGCCTTCTGCTCCCCAGGAAGTCCTGGGAACGTGGTGGCCACTTGGTACATTAGTCCCTGCTTGCAGAGGGAAAAGGTGACCTGTTCTGTAGGTAGCTGATACTTCATGTTAACTCTTCTTGCTCCAATTGAAACACAGGGTTCAGAGCATTGGGTATTTATAGAAAGAGAGTACATTAGGCCAGAAGAACTCAGTCTGCTAAAAGTGGCCTCCACGCAACAGGAAGAAAGTGGGGCAGTCCTGACAGATATCCTGGCTGATGGCAGACTCTCCAAGGTGGACATCCTAGTAGACAAGTTTAAAGTTGAAGTGGCCACAGAAGAAATGGTTGGAACCAGAAGAGCAAATGCCCAGCAACGCGGGAGAATGATTGCAAGTCCTGAAGACTTTGAGTCAATGTGGGATGAAGACCCCTGGATCCGAGGAGATCCAGGGGAGGCTTCTCCAGTTGCAGGCCACACGCTGACAGGACAGCTCCACGAGGGCTCCCAGTTCAGAGTGGGCACTGGAGAGGCAGCTACCAGAAAGCACCAGGTCTCTGGGGGTCAAATGGAGGGCCAGACAGAGCAAAGGAAGGAGCTGGAAGAGTTCCAGGCCTGGGGAAGACCTATTGCCCCAGGGACCAGGCCAGCAAAATTGGGTGCCCCCTCTCCAAACTCTGACAAGAGAGGACTCCAGTCATTTCTGCTGGACCCAGCCCAAGAGGAAGCCAGAGCCAACTCAAGTGATGAAACTGATACTTCCTTTGCAGAAAGAAGCTTCTATTTAACCCATGGAGAGAAAGATTCTGAAGGCCAAGCCCTGACTCTGCTGCTGCAGGAGAGAGAAGAGCACCTGGATGCTGCCTCTGGAGATGAGATCAGGCTGGAGCTTTCCAGGGAGATAGCCGAGAGCTCTGGCCTGAATACCTCAGACTCTCAGGGTTCTGCTGCAACTTCCAATAGAAACAAGAACGAAGAAGATGAAGCCCTTCCAGCTTCCTCAGAGAAAGGGGCAGGGCCCCCCAAGGACCACAGAAAACTGGATGCTCAGGAGGCCTTTGTGGAACATCTTGGAGAGGGAGTTTCTCCAGGGCAGACTTTTGCTGAGGACCAGAAAGAAGCCCAGCATGGGGTGGAGAGAAAGTATCCTCTCTCGGCATCTGCTGGAACTGCAGAGGAAGAGGTTCCCCAGAGTGGAGATTTGACGGGAAAAGCTGAGAAGAGTCCCATAGCAGAGTGGAAAAACCACTCATTTCCCAAGGGAGACCTCCAGACCTGCACCCTTCCATGGGCCATCTCTCCTAACAATGGCAGGAAGCCAACCAGACCAGACAGAGGCAACTTCCTGCCCCAAGAGAGGGGGCCTGTTCACATGCAAACAGGAGATCCTGCGTTGGAGGACAGCAAGACCTCAGCGTTTCTTCAGATGGAGTTCATCACCCCCCTCCCTACCTCCTCTGCTCCCTTTACGCTTCAGGTAGCTCCAGAAGATGCTTCTCCAAGTCCAGCACCCTGTGGGTCAGGGGAGCCTTTACAGCTTGGGGAGCCCATCAGAGGCAAGTCCCCTGTGTTTCTTAAACATGCCCATCCTTCTAAAGAGCATATGGACCCCAAGGACCAATTAGAACCGGCTGTGAACCCCAATGGAGGTGGGAACAGGGCACCTCCCGTCACCAGCAGAAAGCCCAGATTTGTCCCTGAAGAAGTCAGGGTGGCTGGACCTCCGGGGCTGGTGTTATCATATGGGAAGCGAAAGGAAATGACCTCTTTCCAGGCTGGGGGTCAAGAGGGCTCCCTGGAAGACATTAGCAAGACCTCAGTGGCCAACAAAATTCGGATCTTTGAGACCCATGGAGCTGAAACTCACCGAGTGATTCAGGATGAAACCAGGGCCCTTCCCGATGCGTCGTCTTCTGAGGCCTTCCCAGGGCAACAGGGGAATAGACTCTTAGACTTGGGCTTCGTCCAGCTCCAGTCCCTGGGAGACTTAACCGGCTCCCAAATCACAGAGTCCTCGATGATGCCAACGGCTACCAGACACTTCAGGGAGGGCATCTCTACCACCTCGCACCAGGAAGGATGCCTGGAACTTGAGCTTATGTCCCCTGATTCAGGCTGTGAAACTACACTGGAGGAAGCAACTGGGGGAATTGGCCACGTGAGCCCCTACCCCCCACCGCTGACCCCAGTCTGGGGAGCTGACCGCATGCTGCGTAGCTCTTTAGAAGCATGTTTCAGTGGCCCCTCGTCATCATTGCACTCAGAGGCTGCTTGTCCACCCCTGTGAGTTCTTTTCCCCAAACGGGCCCAAGTGTAACCCAAGCGGAATGACGTGCTCATCTGCTTGGCCTGTGTTAGTTTAACCACAAAGACCCTCGGCTTTTGGTATGACCGGTGCCCAGAGCGTCACACGGCCCTAGTGGAGAAGGTGGCACCATCGCCAGCCAACTACACACTTGCTTTGCCTTGCTGCCACCACCTGCTGGGTTCCACCTGTTTTGCTTGGCTTGTCCAGCCATCTTCCTCCATCCTTCCCCTTCCCTGGTTCTCCTGCCTTGGGGAGGCTGCAAGAGGCTGCTCAGAGGTTTCTATCCTTCTCTTCTGGTTCCCTCTCAGTCCCAGTGCCAAGTTTCCTTCTGCCTCCTTAAGACTAACTGTCTTCTCTAATCCAGAACAAATCCGGAGACGCGGTCAGGGAAGAGAAGCGCATCACCAACTTAGGAGTGAACCCCCCTGGGAAGGGGGGGCACCTGAGATTCGCCAGCCCATTGGGCCCTCAGGTCTCTGCAGCCCCTGATGACCCTGTGCTCTGATGACCTGGTCATCTTCACCTGGCAGGGTGCATCGCTGCCTTTCGGTCCCACCCGCCCTGGCAATGCCTCTTGTGGCAGCTCGACTCTGGCTTGTCTGGAATGTGTGTCCTCACACCTCTCAACCCTCCAGAAACTGGCTAGCAAGTGAATCTCTGTGCTTGTTGGATTTCTAGAACCTGAAGCCAAGTACTTTACAAATATTTGGTGGGTGTTATATTGGTCTTTAAAAAGAAAGTTGTGGACCAGCCAAAAATATGTTTGTGGTGTTTAATCCCTGACAGGCCAGTTGAGAGGTATGTATGTCAGACAAGAGTTGCTGGTTCCCCTCCGGCATTTCCTTGGCCTGCTGTTGTCAATTACACTGATGGGACCAGAACTCTTACTCTGCCGCCTGCCGGCCCACTTGTGGTGCTCTGGGTAGAACCCAGTGAGCTCCCAGCTGCCAGGAATTACCCCGTCTTGTTCTTACCTCTAGATGATGCCAACCCATCCATGGAGACTCAGTGGAATTGACAATCTGTTGGCTTTCTTTTTGTTCCTCAAAGCTCTTGGTTCCAGCCTCTCTGCCTCCCCCTCCCGGTTCCCTGAATCTCTCCCTCTCACTTCTGTCTCTCCATGCCCACCCGCAAGGATGAGCCTGGGGTCTAGGCTCCCATCCCTGCCTTGCACCTAAAGCTGCTTCTGATAAGCTCCCAGATCCAAACCTTGGATGGGGCCTCCTGCCCAGGACCTGCTGGCGGGATGTTTGCTTTGTACCTGCTTTTGCCACAGCGGGGTACTCTCAGAAAGGAGTGTCCCCACTCTTGAAAATTATTTGGGTTTTTTAAAGCTTGTTATGATGTCCAGGAACCTTTCCCGGGGCTGGTTTTTTTGTTTGTTTGTTTGTTTGTTTTCTGACCTGCTCTTCCATTTGGGACATCAACGTGGCCTCAAGATTTTTCTGTCATTCACCATCTTGATTTCTCTCTTTGTTTCTCTCCCCATCCCACACCCCCATTCCTTTGATTTTTATCTGGCCATAGAGAGCAGGGCTGAGGGAGGGCTCAGAAGAGAAAGTCAAACCTCCACGTCCCAGGGCCCCAGAGAGTGATACTGGAGATGAGGACCAGGACCAGGAGAGGGATGCGATGTTCCTGAAGGACAACCACCTGGCCATTGAGCGGAAGTGCTCCAGCATCACAGTTAGCTCCACTTCCAGCCTGGAGGCTGAGGTCGACTTCACAGTCATCGGTGACTACCATGGCAGCGCCTTTGAGGACTTCTCCCGCAGCCTGCCAGAGCTCGACAGAGACAAAAGCGACTCAGAAACAGAGGGCCTGGTGTTCTCCCGGGATCTCCACAAGGGGGCGCCCAGCCAGGATGATGACGCTGTTGGCATTGAGGACAGCCTGGATCGAGGGGCCTGCTCCACCCCGGATATGCCCCAGTTTGAGGTACAGTGGAGCATCTTCCTGACCTAGGCCCCTGGGCACTGCATGTTCCAAAGGTCCTGTGCCGTCTGTGAGAAGACTGAGCCACCAGCCTGCAGCCCAGAGTCCTTCCATTTGAAGCCCTGTCTCGTGTTGCATGGCCAACCCTCTGCAGAACAGCCTGGCTCTGTGCGCGCATGTTTGCCATCTCAATTTACCCTTAACATGTTCTCCTTGGCATTTTAACACTGTGGCCCCATCGCTTGCCTGAGGTCAAGTGATGATGGGCAGTCTGTTCACTGGACTCCTCCTCTCCCTACCTGTGTTGCATGGCACCTGCAGGAAGCATGTGCTTGTGGACTCGCAGGGGCTGCTGCCACCTGCTCTGAATGACAATCGCATGGTTGCTCCTAATCCAGGTCTGGGCTCCTCTTCTCAGGTCTGGGCTTCCTGGGGAAGGAGCAGCAGTCTAAATATACCCAGTCTTGGGGTCTTGGGTGGTTGTAGACTCTCCTAGCAAAGAGGAAATGCTGTCACCAGGGGACCCAGGAATAGGCATCTCTGGGCCTCTGCTCTGTGCCTTTCCTCTACAGAAGATCCTTCAGCAGCATGTGTTTGTCACATTCCTCCTTTGCTCCCTCACCTCTTCCAGCCCCTTCACTTCCTCCCTTCAACATCCCCCTCTCCGCCTGTGTTCCAGGCATTGAAATATGAGCTCATCCACTCTGGGTCCACTACCGGTACTCTCTGGGTAGAAGGTTTCTCCCTTTCTCTTCCCTGAAAACTCCCTTTCTCTGCCACGTTCCAAGGAAGTGTGCAGGTACCTCTCCCTAACCACCCAGGGTAGAGGAGTTGCCTCCTCCACAGCCCCCTTGCTCTGTATTGCTTCTGTTCTTGGCATTACCCCAAGTCATCAGGTAGGCGGCCGACAATCTGTTCTCCCGCCAAGCAGCAGCTCCTCTAAGCATACCCACACCAAGCAGTAGTATGATTACTTGAAAGAATGGCTGGATCTCAGGGTCACACACCTCTATTAAATTTCGTCCTCAAAACTCTCCCAGCCACACTACAAGCTAGCTTTCATTCCTCCATTCAGCTCACAGAGAGCAACACCTGCTGTGTTTAGAGCCATGAAGGAGGCCTGGTGGAGACTCAAAAGAAACCAAATATTTAACTTGAAACTTCTGGAATAGAGGTTGTAAACTGGTGATCCCAATCCAGATTTGGCTAGCAGTTGTATTTGACTTTGATCTAAAAATCAGGGCATTGAATATAAAGTCCAGGGATTTTTTTTTCCATATCATTAAAAAAAAAAAATCAATGACCTGGTCGCTCAGAAGCCATGGCAACTGTTGGCCAGACATGAGTGGCACCCCATGTCCTCTCCAGCTTACCCCAGTCCTCAACAAGCCCACTTCATTTGTTGACATCTCCCACCTGGCCACCAGGTGTGTGACTCCTGCTCAGAAGAGCACATATAAAGCAGCTGAGAGGGGATGGTATAGACATTAGTTCATTCAGGATTCAGTTACATGATGTTCATAGGGCAAAACTTCCTGTGGCACCTGACACAGATATACTAATTGAATTTGATAACCTGAGAGACAGCATAGTCACTACCAGGTTGTGTGGTTGCAGGGTCATGGGCAGCTGTCTGGCCCCCACTTGTGGTTCTGGCTCTCCTTTTGGGAGTTTGCCGATGGCATCTCTTTGTGCTTCTTTGGCCCTGACCTACATAACCCTCTGGAGACTTGGCCAGCTGCAGAGATGGGAGATAACCTGCTGACCCTACTCCATTTGCCTGTGAGCAGGAGTCTGCTGGGGTTGGAGTTACGGAGTGTCCTTCCTCATCTCCTACAGCCCGTGAAGACAGAAACCATGACTGTCAGCAGCCTGGCCATCAGGAAGAAGATTGAGCCGGAGGCTGTACTGCAGACCAGAATTGCTGCTGTGGACGCAGCCCAGGTAATCTGTCTTCTGGTGCATCCTGAGCACAGGTATTAGGCTTCTAGGGAGAGGGTGGGGGCGCAACTGGCCAAGCCCATCATCCCACCCTTGCCACCTTGGTTTCCCTAGTGCCCTCCCCCGCTTTTAACCTGTTGTTTTGAGTTTTATTTTCCTCCTGGAGCCCTGGAGGTGGTTTCTGGTCCTGAGCATATCTCTTAAAGCCTGAACTTCCCCATCTGTAAAATGGAGTTGATCCTGTCTTCCCCCTCCCGGGAGTGTTGTAAGGCTAGTGGCTAGTGGATTAGGAACATGGCTTTCAGATCGTTTGACTTTGGACTGCTCCTGGGGAGATCCCAATTCAGCTTTCATAAGAATTGTTCACATTGACTCATTTCTTTAATGCATGGCGGCTTCACATCAGATTGACAAATAAAAACATTGACCAAATAAATTGGTAAGACCAAAAATCATGTGTCTTAGCAAGATGAAATGCACTTAGTACCTTGGAGAAAGCAGTCTTGGATAGTCACAGTATGTATGCCACTTTAATTTTTTAAGTTCCTCTGGTGAGTTTTAAAACTATGAAAATTGAGATTGTGGGTCTGGTAGACACCTTCTTGGTTCACACAGCCCTGGAGGCCAGTCTTTGTCTCAAGAACTAAAGTGAGACTTAGACCAACAAAGTGTGGGCAACTCTATCATTTCCAGAATTTTTCTCTCTCACTCTTATAGGGGTTTTTGAGGTTTTAGTTCCGACATGCTGTGTATCCTCAAGCAACCTGCTTCCCCTCCCTGCCTGTTTTGTTTTAGTAACTTTTATCTTCATACAGAAAAGTAAAAAGAAAACCCTAAAAATGGCCCCAAATCCCACAGCTCCATAATCCTTATTGACATCAAAACAAAACCCTAAATTTTTCACCATTATGAAATTTAAACAGAACAAAAATGAAAATTTTCTGAGATTCCCTTCAGAAACAAATGAATGCATACATTAACATATATGCTTGCACCTGTAGACATTTATCAGTTTTACACAAGAAGTCATTCTCTTTCATACCTTTTTTTCTTAAACAGTATCTTCAAGATCACTCTTTGTTGGCAAATGTGGGCACCTCCACCTTATTCTTCTTAGTCCCACTTAATAGTGGATCTTAAGTTATTTTAATGTATTTTATAGTGTTTATGGTGGACCAGAGGCTGGTTAATGAGGAGTGCTATAGTGAGCTCCCTAGTTTATATTTCTTGGCAAAGCTTTCAGATTTTATATCCAAGGAATGAATTTTTAGCAATGGTATTGCTAGGACAAAGGATACAGGTATTGAAATGTGGATGGAATTTGTCAAATTTTCTGGGTCTCTGTTTTTTCCTCTGTTGTCAAATGAGATGATTGCGAGAACTGGAAGACCCACAAAGCACTTCTACAATTCCATCTGCGTGGACACCACCACTACCCACATGCATGTGTTCACTCATACATCCTGTCACATTGTAACTGGGGATGCCACTGGCTTTTCGGGTTCTTTCTCTTTCTCTCTCTCCATTTCTCACATGGATCCTCCTCTGGCCATCAGGTTGATGGGGCTGCCCCCGGGAGCAAGGACTTCTTAACAACAACTCCCTCCATCACCACAGAGACCATATCAACCACCATGGTAAGTAGGGCCCAGGAGGCTTCCCTCTGTGCCCAGCACCCTAACCCACAAAACAGCCAATAAGAAGCTAATGCTGCTTGCTGCCTCAGGAGTCCTCATTCACCTTCACTGCATCAGGCATGGGACACAAGTCAAGCTTTTACAGTGGTTGCCAGTCACTCCTTGGTTTTTCAAACCAAATAACATGGGACCTAGAGCCCTGAGTTGCAGTTATCTGGAACATCTTGGCCATAGCAGGGGTGGAGGGGGAATGGTACTATTTGATTATTGATGACACATGAAGATTACGCCTTAGAGTTCTTCCTGAAGACCTGTCTTCCTAGTGTCTGTATGCTTTCTTGGGCCCTTCCTTGGTTTGCTCAGTAGATGGCGTGCAGTGAATCTAAATTGGGTGCTCAGGATTTTGGACTGCTTTCCTCCCAAGGAAGTGTGTTCTGCTACCCATTTGTTATCTGGCCTGATGGAAGGTCTTTGGCCTCAGTTGTCCTCATCTGTAATATGAGAACTTATCCCCATTTTGCCTGGTCCTCAGGTTCTTGAGAGAGTCTGTAATATGTCTTTTAAGGATGACACAGAGACGATAGCATTTGGCAACCAAGTTTTGGGGTAACACAAGGGCTGAGGATCTTGGATTATCTCATTTGGTTCTTGAAAAAAAGGGTGAGGTAAATACTCACCACCTTTCAGATGAGGAAACTGAATTGACCAAAGGTCACATAAGCAAAAAGTGGTATTCTGATTCCAGGCATTCTAATTCCAGAAGCCCCACTGTTCACCTCCACCACTCTGTTCTGTCATCCAGACCATTCTAAACACAAGCTGGGTAGGCTTGGGCTGTGGTGGGGATAGGCCTGGCCGGTGTCAGGGCTCTGGGAAAGACCTATCTTGAGTTGCTGGGAAATTGTTTCCAAATGTGTTTTCTTGTCAACCCCTTGATATACACTTAGAAAGAGAATTAAGTTAATTTAGATTTCCCATCAGGTGGGTTTTGAGTAAACAAAAAATTTAAGATAAACCCAAGCCAGTTACCATTTTTCCCCCCTGTATCATTCAGTTCCTCCTCTCCCCTTAACCCTTTCCACATGGCATTGGGATGCTTATAGGGCTAAATTTAAATTTGCTACTGTGGTGAGCAGTTGGCTACATCATCCATTTAACCATCCATCCATTCATCTATTCATTTGTTCCAGAACCATTTGTGAGTCTCTATTCTCTGCCTGGTATGGGGAATACAGAGTTGAAAGAAATAAGACTGCCCACTAGAATTCATTCATTAAATACTTCCAAGCACATTTAATGTGCTATGCCCCTGTGTTTAGGTCCTAGGCACACAGTGGTGAACAAGGCCCAGCTCTCCTACTTCCTGGCTAGATGACCTTAGGCAATATCTCCAAGCTTCAGTTTCCACTTCAGTGAAATAGGGTGAGGAGGCAATAATAACGCATCCTTCAAAGGGTTGATGTGAGGTTGAAATAAATAAGGTGATCTGTGCAAAGGCCTCAGGAGAGTGCCTGGTGCATGGTGAGCGTGTGGTCTGTAAATGTGAGCTGCTGTGATTTATTATTTCTGCCTTCATGGAACAGTGTCCCAATGCTACTCCACTCAGGGAGGATAGATGTGGGGTGATGCCCCTGCAAGAGAAGCTGGGGAAACTTTCCCTGAAAGGTCATTAAATGAAGTTGTATCTCAAGAGTGTAGACTCAGGGCAACCGGAAGGGCAGGAGCAAAAGCAAGGACATGAAGAAGCCTAAGATCTGGGGAAAGGCAAGTGGTCCATGGAGCGAGATGTCCAGTATGCGGAAGAGCAGGTGAGAAGAGACTGAAAAGGAAAGCTGGACCAGGGCTCTAAGGGTCTTGAAATGTCCTATGTGAAGGCCAGGCTCAATCCTGGAGAGACAATGGGAAATCACTTCAGCTTTTTAGGTTGGAGCTTGATGTCATCACATACATGTTTCTGTATTTTAGAGAGATGATGCTAGCAAGCTGTGTGCGGCATGGACTGGAGCAGAACTTCCTGACTCCTCACGCTTTCCTTCTCTCCCTCCCTCCCTCCCTCCTTCAGCAAATAATTAGTGAACAGCTCCGACTATGTGAAATACTGTGTCAAGTGTGGCAAATCCAGCCTTGAAGGATTCAGGCAACATGCCTGAGCTCATCTGCTACTGGGAGAGACTGAAAGAGAAGCCTGGGAACTTGTTTAGGGACTAGGGGTGGAGCCAGAATGTGGAGGGAGGAAAGGGCAGGATTTGGTCCTTGATAGAATGTTCAGGTGACTAGAAGACAGACTAGTGATGTTGCTCAGGAACATGACAGTTGTCAAAGTTGTCCAGGGAACCTGTTAGACAGGCAAATTCTGCACCTGACTAAGAAACCTCATGTGTTCTCACAGCCTTCTGGTGCTGCTCCTCATACCTAAAGACACTAATATAGGCAGTTCTGGAGAGAGTGTTCTTTAATGGCAGATAAGTTGGAGTAAGGAGAGGCTGTGGTAATGGTGGGTTATGGTTTTAAAGTTCTAGAGTTTAAAAGCAATCTGGGCTACAGATAAAGAAGTAGGGAGCATTGGTCTTGACAAAGCAGCAGAAGCTTTGAGTGGCTGAGGTTGCCCAGAGAGATAGTGGCAAGGGGAAAAGCCCCAAGTCCAGGAAGGAAGGAAGGGTCCAGAAGGGAGATGGTGGCATTGCCTTGGCCAGAAAGAGAAGTTGCTCCTGGAGGCAGGAGAGAGGCATGCCTGAAGTTCCAAGAGGCAGGGGAGCAGATGGTACCTTGTTTTGAAGGTACCTCCATTAGCTGTCTCTTGCTTTCAGTATGAAGGTGGAGGTGAGGCTTTGCTCTGGGAGCTGCAGTAATAGAAAAAGCTGTAGGGGAGAATCACCTGGAGTACCAGCAGGACCCCAGGGGGCTGTTATGAAGGAGAAAGGAGCATTGAATTTGCAGGGCTGTCCTTTCCAGGCTGCTGCTAGGCCATATTCTGTCAGAGATCAGAGAAAGTAACTTGCAGCAGGAAAGTACCTGCCAAGTATCCAGGCTGCTGACAGCCTCAGCTGGAGGCAGCCTTGGGATGGGTAGGGGAAAGGCAGAGGTTCTGATTTCACTTTGCCCCGGCAGGCAGTGATCAGGTCTAGCACCACACACAGACCAGGACTTATGGAGCTCAGCCCACTTGGGGCTCTGGGCCCCAAGACAACTGGGTAGTTAGAAAGTGGGAGGTGACAGGCAGCCAGGCCCCTTGCCTGATGTGGAAACAGTTCCAGGAGCTAGAATCCAAGGCAGGACTAGAAAAATGTGTTTGACTGTGAGAACCTCATTGGAACATGTTGGCAGAGTCTGATGCATAAATCTTTAGAATCAGAATCCTGCTCTGTCACTCACTCACCAAGAGACTTGAACAAGCCACTTAGCAGCCTCTGATCCTCCACCTTCTCATCTATAACAGAAACATTAAAATGCTTTCCTAGGGCTGTATGAGGATTAAATGAGATTATACATCCTTAGCATCATACCAAGTACAAATATTCAGAAAACAGTAGTTGTCGTATGTGACTAGTAGTCAGCTTGTTCTACATATTTCCTGTAAACTTTAGTTTGCAAAACCATTTCTCCCTCCTTAAGCTCATAATGTCACTGTGGGGCATAAGTCTTTTTTTAATTCATTTAATATTTAAGTTGTATTATTTTTATTGAAATAACTTTGGTATATGGGGTCCCTTAAAAAAAAAAAAAGACTTGAAAGAACATTTTTAAGGTTCATGACAAAATTGAGAGGAAAGTTCAGAATTTTCCCATATACCCCATACATGTACTGCCTCCCCTGCAATGAGATTTTTGTTACCAGAGATGAGCCTTCATTGGCAAGGTCCCTTTTAGGTGAATCCATGAGGCCCATAGAGAGAAAGTAACTGTCCCCAGGTCATGTGGCTAGAATGTGGCAGGGCCAGGATAGGAACCTTGAATGTCTCAACGCCTTTGCTCATGCTTCGGACAGCAACACTATGTCTTGTTCACCACAGTGTCCCTAATGCCAGACACTCAGTAAATGTATATTGAAAGAGTGAGTACGTGAATGAGTATGTCAGTTTGCGTGTGCGAGAGTGCCAGATGAGCGAGATGGAACTCCATGATGCCTTCAGCTCTCTGCTGTGGCTATGAGCACTGCATGGCCATGTGCTCTGGCCTTCCTGGGGGCTGCCCACCTGAGACCTGGCCTTCTGAGCGCTATTGTTTCCCCAGGAGAACAGTCTCAAGTCCGGGAAGGGGGCAGCTGCCATGATCCCAGGCCCACAGACGGTGGCCACGGAAATCCGTTCTCTTTCTCCGGTAAGTGGACAGGGCCAGCTCAGGCTAGGGGCCTCCAAGCTGAGAATGTAGGCACTGGTCCTCAGAGGACCTACAGCAAGTGCAGCTTAGAGCGCAGAAGGCTGCCCTTTCAAGCACCAGGAGACTAGCTCATTTTCAGATGCCTGTAAGGCTTCCCAGTGCCCACCAGAATCTCTTCCATTGCCCCCGTTTCCTCCCACTATGTACAAATGGACATCGGCAGTGTGGGGTGAAGTCACACCTCCTGCTGGTGGTGCCTGTGATGTGACAGCTCTTTTGCATCTGCTCTCCTTGCTGACCAGGAAGAGCAGCGATCTAGGGGCCCGAGGCTTGGGTTTTTAACCTGGCTCTGTGGGAGGCCACATTGCTAACCTGTCACTGTGAGGTCTCTTGCAGACCTGCCTTCTCCAAGTCTGCCGTTCTCATCATAACTGCAGAGAAAGAGTTCTGTCCTGTGGGGCACCTGGAGGGCTCTGTTTCCACCTTGACTCATTTCTGCTCATTCTTCTAGGATGCCAGGATTCTTAAGTTCTAGGGTGCTGTTAGGATTCAGGGCTTGAGAATTTCTTGGGTCTAGAATTCTGAAGATTCCTGTATTTTTGAATCTTTAGACTCAGTGATTAGAAGCAGCTTGGCCGCCAATTTTTACCTTTATGGGAACCCCAACTACCCCTTGGCTTACCTTACCCCACCCCATCCTTCAGAGCCCATCGTCCTCACCTGATCCCCCCCCCCCCCGGGTGGGGGGTGGTTGTATTCTGCAGATCATCGGGAAAGATGTCCTCACCAGCACCTACGGCGCCACCGCGGAAACCCTCTCCACCTCCACCACCACCCATGTTACCAAAGTGAGTAGCAGCAGGGCACCCCGTACTCCCAGCCTGGCTGTGGGGATCGGGAAGGTCATTGCCATTGCTCTGCCTTGTAATGTGGCCAGAGGAGACCTGTGGTGGACCCAGTTTCTGAGTGCTGTGCGCTTTGTTATGTGCTCGGGTTGTCCTAGGCCCTTCAATGTCGACAGCCAGGCTGGGGGGGGGACAAGACTATCACCTTTGAAGTAATTGTGAAACGTGGCTCATGCGCCTGATAGGCTTACGTGCTGGAGGGGCGTAGAGGAAGGTAATGTAAGCAAGGCTCTAAAAGTGAAGAAGGATTTCCTGCAAAAAATGAGATGTGTGCAGGGTTTTGGAAAGCCAGGTGGGACCCATGAGTGGGGAGAAAATGGATGCAGGTTTCCAAAGAAAGGCAGAAAACGGAAGCAAGAACTGTCTGCTTATTTGTTCAATTTGCAAATGTTATTCGTGTGTCAGTCTCACTCTGGCCTCTGTGCTCAGGGCTGCTGGGGGTGATGGAAGCTGTGCATGTTTGTGGGAAATGGGAAAAGCAATCATTATCAAGAAGGAGCAGGGACATAACTGTGAGCAATTAGGTGGGACTGAGAGCTGGGGAAACAGAATAGGGACCAGTAAGTCAAATCTCAGGACTGATGGGACAACAGACAGACAGCCCGAGTCTGAGAGCACTTGGAAAACTGTCAAGGGGTTAAAGGAGAGGCATTTAGTTCCACCAGGATGTGCAGGTAGATGCAAGAAGAGAGTGAATTAGAAGAGACTAGAGATAGAGAACCTGGATAGGGTAGGAGCTGGGACAGGAGGAAGAAGGGACCAGAAAAGCGAGGCCAGTGGGGACTTGTCCACTCCTGAGTGGCCAGTGGGAGTCTAGGCCAGGGGAGGAGAGGCCTGGAGGAGTGAGGCCAGGGAGCCAGGTTGAGAGGAGGTTCTGCTGATTCTGGCAGGCAGTACTGCCCTGTCTGCACACAACCGCCCCAGCTATGCCCACAGCTATGCAGGACTCAACACTTCTTTACTTCCTCCAGAAAGCACCCACTCTCACCACAAGTGAGCAACGACCACTTCACTGGACGCTTTATGGGAAGGTTTTCCATTATAGCCAGCCTATGCAGCTGTATTTATCCTACCGGTTTGGATTTGCAAATTTTGCCTTGCAAAGCCCCATCACATGCTTACTGCTGTCTGCTCTCTCCCAGTCCCCTCCCAGCCCTGCCCACTGGGAGTGCCTCTTCTTTCTGTCTATTCCAAACTCCAGCCAGAACTTCCTCAACTGCTACCCTCCTTTAATATGCCAAGTAACTAGATCTCACCCCCTCTTCTTCTTCTAAAATTGCACCCAAGTCCCACCCCTTCAGAAAACAGTGGAGGGTGGAGTGTTATCAAGCTTTCTCTTGGAGTATTGTTTGGCAGTCATTTAAGTTAGGACCATTTACATTTCATTCATGTGTTCATTCAACAAATCTGTATTGAAAACCTGCTCTGGTCCAGTTGGACAGGGGAGTGGAGAAGAAGGGGATACAAAGATGATCAAAAGAACACTTGTTCTCAAGAGCTCCAGCCTAGTGAGCAAGGTCTGGTGACAGGCAAATGACTAGCCCTAGGCAGGGTGGCCCAGAACCACCAGACACAGACTGGTGCTGAGGGAGCATCGAGGCAGGAAGGTGGAAGGACAGCCACCCAAGATTAGGGAGCTGGCCTTTGAACTGGGCTTGGAAGCCTTAGGAGGGTAGTTTGGTAGCTGGAGGGGGAGGAGGTAGTGGTAGCCAGGCCAGATGTGTAGTCTGAAGTCACAAAGCCAGAAAAGAAAAAAGCAGAGGGTGACTGCTGTTTCCCAGCCTTGCCATGAGGGGTGCTTTGGCTAGGTCCCCTGTCTCAGCTGCTGCCCCAGCAGGCCCCAGAGCTGACCTCAACTTCCTCTCCCTCTGTAGACTGTGAAAGGAGGGTTTTCAGAGACGAGGATTGAGAAGCGAATCATCATTACTGGGGACGAAGATGTTGATCAAGACCAGGTAGGAGGTTAGGAAACATTATTCCCAGATGTACTGCCCAGTTCCCAGTGCTTCCCATATTGGGTTACCTGTGGACAGGGAAGTGTCTACATCCTGCTGACTGGCCAGACATGAGGCCCCAAAGGGAGGGAAATGGGGGCCAGAAGGAGTGGGGAATCTTAAGCTCCAGTCTGTTCCTTTAACTATTTGACCTCTGCCCCTCCCTGTGCTTCAGTTTCCCAGCTGTGCACGAAGGGCTGCAAGTCTTTGTGACTTCTCTCATGTCTGAAATGTAGGGTGCCTCACTTTGCTGTTCTTTTCCACCAGGCCCTGGCTTTGGCCATCAAGGAGGCTAAGCTGCAGCATCCTGACATGCTGGTAACCAAAGCTGTCGTATACAGAGAAACAGACCCATCCCCTGAGGAGAGGGACAAGAAGCCACAGGTAAGCCTTCTGAGGCTTGGCAGCAGGCAAGAGAAGCACAAATGATGACAAGATCCCCCCTTTAATCTCATTTACTTCTAGACACCCATCAAACGACTTGATTCCTAGTGCAGCTTGGACACCCCCCCCAACCTTGCTGTTTGAAAGCTCTAGCTCCACTAGATACAACGAATCAGAGAAGGGAGGGGAGGAAGACTGGTTCCTGGCTTCTTTGGGGTTGCAGGTACAAGAACCCTAAAAGATGAATTCAGAAGTGGTGAGAAAAAGGGAGTGAGGATTGACAGTGGGTAGTGAGGCAGGACAAGTGGAAACAAGCATATCCTTCCTGGCCATTGTTGGTAAGCTGGAAGTCAGAAAAAGTCCCACAGGCCCAGTGCCACTTTCCTGTCCCAGAGTCTGTGTCTCCATCACAGGTCACTGGATATTGCTAAGGGGAGAGGTGATGACTGAGCCCTTGATCCCATTTGTCTTATTAGACTGCAAATCTTTGGCTTTTCAGGCTATGTGAGGTGAAAATCTTGAGAACCCCACTATTTTCGTTTCCATATAGACCATCAATACCTTGGTGCACAGGGGAGTGAGATGCTTCTGCAACAGACAGGGCTTTACTCCACTAAGTAAGGGGAGAGATTCTTTTGACTCCTCTGAAATTACTGGATTTTATCAGACCTCTGAAACAAAATGTCACAGACAATTGAATTGTATGAAATAAGTCAGACGCAAAGAGTACGTGCTGTATGAGTGGATTCACAGGAAGTTCAAAAACAGGCAAAATTAATTGCTCATGCTAAAAGAATAGTTGCTACTTCTGGAGCCTTGTATTAACAAGACGATTCCCAAGGGAACCTTCCAGGTATCGGAAATGTCAGTATCTTGAGCTGGGTGAGTTACTGGGCATATACATCCATAAAAATGTGTTGAGTTTCCCCTTAGCTTTGTGCACTTTACATCTTTTACATCATCCAACATGAAAAAGCCATCTCAAAACACCCCACGAAAAGCAGTTTTCCTTTTTGCCCTCTTCCCCATGAATGAAGCCAGTGTTTTCCAAAAAGACATAAATGTTTGCTCTTTTCTGTTGATTACCACCCTCTTTGTATCAGAGGAAAAAGCACAGAATATTTATTTTTCTACTATTTTGAAAGGTTGCCAAGCCTAGCTCAGTGCTACCAATATTTTGGACAAAACTTTCTACAGTGATGGAAATGCTTTTTCTGTGTTACATGATAGGGGAGCCCCTAGCCACACATGGCTATTGAGCAACTGAAACTGGCTGATCAGAAAGGATAGGTGCTTCCAGTGTGAATTATATACAAGACTTCAAAGACTTAATATGAGAAAAGGAATGTAAATTACTTCAACAGTTTTTATATTGAGTGTATGGTGAGATACAGTGATTGTTCGGTGATGTTTGGGTATGTTGGTTTAAGTAAAATATATCATTAAAATTAATTTCACCTGTTTATTTTTCTCTTTAATGTAAATTAAAATTTTAGAATTTTTAATTTAGTTATTAAAATTATATTTGTCTAGAAATGTCTAGGAAGCTAGAAAATTTAGAAAATCTATTATCTAGAAAAATTTAAACTCCCCATGGGGCTCTCATTCTGCTTCTATTAGGTAATTTTGGTTTAGAAAAAATAAAAGCTAGACATGGGTGGAGCCTACTTCCCAGCTTTCCTCAGACTTTCATTCTGTCCCCTCTCATTGTTAATTCTTGCTTTTGATCCTCTAGATTTCATAGTGGTAGGTCACTTTCCAGTGTGTTATCCTCTGGGGAAGCTGTTTGAAATAGGTGTTAGGTAACTATTGTATTAAAGTCTGATGTAGAAGCAGCAGCATAGAATGTGGGAATCTTTGCTTTTACCTTGGTCCTTAGGAATCCATGTGCTACCAGGTACCCAGAAATCTGGATTTTATCTCACTCACGTTTATAAGCATGTAATTTTGGGTCAATTTCTTCCCTTCTGAGGACTCAGTTTCCTTATTTGCAAAATGAAGAGATGTAGCAAGCCCACTTCCAGTTTCAGTCTTGTTTACTTGCTTTTCTAGAGTATCTACTATGTGTTTTTCTTATCTTCTCATTCCCCTCCTCATTCCTCACCTTCTCTGGGGTATTCCCAGCCAGTTCCCATGCTCCTGCCTTCCCATTTCCCTGCAATTCAGAGCTTTCTGCCCCAGCCTTCGCATCATGTCCACTACATCACCATGCAGTCCCTCACATCTGCCTACCTCACTCCTCCCTTTGCTATCGCATTCCCTCCTCCTCACCCCTTTTGTTTCTTTGATGCCATTGCACTACCAGGTACCCTTTTGGCTCCTTCCGTAAAGGTCACCTTGTGTATGTTGCCCTGGAAAGAGCAAAGTTTCTCCCCTACCTTTCCACCCAGATGCTTTACTGTTAGTTACTACTATGTAGGAACCACCTCTGACTCTTGATATAAGCAGACACACTAATTCTGAAGGGAAGGTCGTTTCTCTGAATGAGGAAACTTCTCTTTAAAGTGCTTGAAAAACATTGATATGATGGATGGGTACATCTTGGCACCCTGAAGAAGCTGTCATCCCTCAGACCTGAATTCAAATCTCAGGCTTAAAGAGTTAATAACTGTGTGACTTGGAGCAAGTTTTTAACCTTCTCATTCACGTTTCCTCATCATCCACACAGCAGTGACCAATTGTGGTAGTAAAGTCACTGTCATCTATGGGGTGAAGAGGCTAATCCAGGTACCAGGCTATACACTTAGCATAAGTTCTGTTACCTGCTCATTCATTTTACAAATGAGAAAACTGAGACTTGGAGACATTAGGTGACTTGCTCAGACCCATGGAACTGCGTCATCATGGGACCATGATGAATTGGTTAAGGAACTAGCCTTATTTGTTAGACTCTAAGGTCTCTCTATGGTCTTAACCTTCTCCCACTGACTTTTGATGGTGTCTATCTCATAGGGTTATTGAAGTGATACATAGACAGTAGTTATCCCAGTCCCTGGCAATAATAAGTGTGCAAAAGAAAAATTTAGTTACTGAAAAAAAAGTTACTGAAGACATGACACCAAGAATCATATTTATACTGACTTATAGAACCAACACTTTAGGCATTGAGAAACAAAGTGCAGCCTGCCACTGTAAAAAAAATTCCTCAGGAAGCAGCACAGTTGAGTAGAAGGAACCACCCAGGCTTTGGAGCCAAAAAACACCTTGTTTATGTGCCCAGAGGAGCCTCCCTGGACCTGAGTTTCCTTATCTACAGAATGGATTTCACCTATGAATTGGAGCTGTTAAAGGTTTGTGATGGCCATAGTCAGTGGAGCTGCCAAACACACATTTATTTCTCACAGTTGTAGGGACTGGGAAGTCCAATATAAAGGTGCTGACCAATTCATTTCCTAGTATGCAGTGAGTCACCTTCCCTGTGTGTCCACACATGGTCAAGGGCAGAGAGAGAACATGACTCATGTCTCTTCTTATAAAGGCCTAAACCCATTTATGAGGCTTTGCTTTTATAACCTAAAGCCTCATTTCCAAATACCATCACCTAGAGGATTAGGGCTGCAGCATGTGAATTTGGGGGAGACATAGACATCCAGTCCATAGCACTGCTGTGTCAGGGCAGGATCTCACATGCAGAGGGTTTGTTTTTTGTTTTTGTTTTTTTTTTTTTGACATTTATTTATTTATGCTTACAGAACTGGGGTATAGGCCAAAGGTGGGGGGGGGGGCGGTGAGAGGATTCACCAGAGACAGAGTGGGGAGCAGAACAGGCAGGTCTACTGAAATACACTGCTGAGGGGAGCAGCAGGCAGGTCAGGAGAGGTCTCCTGCACCATATGGGTCAGCTCCCTGGTTGGGGATCGAACGTATGCTGTAGTGGTTTCAGAGAGCTTCATAATGCAGTGCTTTAACCTGTTGCACCACCAGGGAGAGCCCACAGAAGGTTTTTAACAATATAAACCTGTTTCTTGTCCATGTTGAGGAGTTGATGAATATCAGACTATGAATGCTGCCACTAGTTCAGCACACAAGCCCTATTTCAATGTGGCTGTCCATTTCACTGGTCTTCATCTTTTCTTCCCTCTCTGAATCCTCCAGAAAAATCTGTCTTTTGTTGACTTGTTCTTCCTTCTGGAAGTTCTTGTCCTTGAAGTTCTTGCTGTGAGTCTGGAACACACACCCATCTCAGAAAGAGTTTTTTCTCTCCTCTCCCTGCAACTTGCAGACTAAATGTGTGGCTTCTGCTCCATCTCCCACTGGCTGCCTCTTCAGACAGGTTCTGCATCCCAAATACTACCAGCAAGAGGTTGTCACTCTCCCAGCTTCCTGGTGCTTTCTTACCTTCAAATTTTTAATTAAACAGGGTTGGGGGTGAAAATAACTCATTCCAAAGCAGGGGCCTTAGGTTCTGACCAGCACCTGACCAGATGTGAGCAGTAAGGGGCTACAGGTATAATATGCACCTGTGAAATAGTTTTGGTGCCCACCACATTGTTTGGCAAAGACATTCCTTTACCTCCAGGTGATTAGAATAGTCGATGGTTGAATTAACAACAGTAGCAATAATTTTAAAAAGGTAGTATTTATTTAGCACTTAACATATGTCGGACCCTTGTTTTGAATCCTCCCTATAACTACATAAGGCAGGACCCATTTTACAGAAGGAGCAACCAACATCTCAAGATATTAAGAAACTTGCTGAGGATTATAAAGCAAGTAGGCAGTGGGGTGCGACTTGAATTCAGGAAATTTGACTGCAGCGCCTACTTCCACACCCATGAAGTGTTGGAGTCAAACCTGATTTGGAACCCAGACTTCAGTTTCTTTATTTAAGTACTGATCTCTTGAGTAAAGACCCCAAGTCACAGCAGTCCCATGGAGTCTGCTTCAAGGAAAAACAAGAGAAAAATACTCCTGCAGTCATGACTAAACACTTAGAACTGAGAGGAGAGGAAGAAACATGAAAGGAGTGTGATCATAGCCTCAGTGTTAAAGGAAACTTGGACCATTAAGAAGTGAAAGACTTCTCCCCGGAAGCAAGCAAGCAAATATATGTCAGAGGCAGAGTTGTAAATTCAGTCGTCAAATTAGCCTTGGGCAAATTTCTCTGTTTTCTGGAGCCATGATTTAGGGTGCATGGTAAAGGCTAGCTAAAAACTTCTTGCCAGGGCCCTCCCTGCAGTGGGCAAAGCACTGCATTAAGAAGCTAAAGCCCCTTCCTCATGAGTTCCACCCCCGGCCCGGAGGTGATCCATATGGCGCAGCAGACCTCTCCTGACAGGCCCGCTGCTTCCCTCAGCGGTGTACTTTGACGATCTGCCTGTTCTGCTCCCCACTCTGTCTCTGGTGAATCCTCTCACTGCCCCTGCACTTCTGGCCTGTACCCCAGTTCTGTATGCACAAATAAATGAATGAATCTTTAAAAAAAAAAAAAAAATCTCTCACCATGCATTCAAGATGGTGACAGAAAGTTTCTAACTTTTCTTGTCCTCTCCTTTTCTTTGTGTCCTACTCCTGCCCCCAACTCCCACCCTCTCACTCCAGGAATCCTGACCTCTGTGAAGAGATGCTGGCATTTCTGGTCCAACTCAAGCCAGAGAACCGTTAAGAAGGGGCCTTCATTCTGGATTCTCCGACTCAACATCGACGTCCCAGCTGTGACATACTGTCCCTGATGAGAGACTGGGAGAGGAAAAGCATATATATAGAGATATATAGAGATATAGTATATATACAGGAAACACTGCGTCCTGCACTGCTGCTGGGGCTGGCCGAGCCATCGGCCGACAGCAACAACCAACATCTGAACACCTACATTTCCTTTGCAGAATAAGTAAATAACTGGTGGGATTTTTCAAGGACAAAACAAAAAGATCACAATAATCTCTTGCTCCCCCCTTCAAATCCCTGAGGAACAACAAAAGTAAGCCAGACCACAGTGATTGTAGAGGTACAATATGATCCTTGTTTTGCACATTACATTTAGTGGACAAGCATCCCATTTGCTCTTCTCCAGCATCTGTTGCCCACTCAAATGCAAAGGAAAACACTTTTGCAACAAAGCAAGAGAAGTCGCAGCAGCAAGACATGTACCCATCAACCGTTTTCTGAGAAAGAAAAAATTCCCCACTTGAAAAGAAGGAGGAGGAACACTGGATTATTATTTTTTGGGTCTTGACACTGGGCTGCAAAATCCACCTTCCTTCCTTTCTTCCACCTCCCCTTCCCCTCCACTCTTAAGCGTCTAGTTATCATTTTCTGTCTCGGCTCCTTCCTCCCCCTGCCCCCATCCCATACTCGTCACCCTCTGTGTCCTGGTCCTGCTGAGGGCCACAGCAGATGACTGTCATTTGAAATGAGGAAAAGAAAAGAAAGCAAGAGCAGAAAACCAAGCCAAGGAAGGGAAGTAGACATTGTACGTTTATGGGTTTTCATTATGAAGGTGCAGCTTGTAGATTTGTATGGATGTGCTTTTAAGTTATGTATATTACATATAACAGGAAACAAATATTAAAATAAACAGTGCTGGTAAGTATGAAGCTGACATTTTAAAATTATAATTATCTGACTGTGATCAATGTATCCCAAGGTTCCTAGATCTCACTGAACTGGCCCAGTCAAGGAGAGACTGGCTGTGGGCGACTCAGCCACACACAGTTGGGACAGTGGTTCAGTGTAGTAATACAGTATATGGTGTTTGTGATTGGTTGATTGGTGGGGAGGGGTGGGGGCCCCAAATGGAGAGGCAGGAGTTTGGCAAGAAGGAAGCAACACAGATGTGGTCCAGAATGCCTTCTCTCCCCGCAGTAGCAACCAGGGCCAGATCTGTGTCCAGATTCCTGATCCAGACTCTGCTGCACAGGTCCCTGGCTCAGTCTCCTACCTCCCGGGAAAGGGGTGTGGGGGAGGGGAGGATGGCTGCCTTGGTTTTCAGCCCTTTTTTTTTTTTTTTTTTTTTTTTGCTACATATCTTGCCTTTCCCTGACCACATTGTGATAGCTAATGCCCCATCTAAAGGGAGTTAGTGCCTGCTCCCCACACTGGGTTCCAATAGAGGACAGTGTCTTCAGATTGGCTGTTTTGAAATTCCCAATTCAGTCTTTTCCTCTACTCCTTCCTTGTTCTCAATCATTCTCTTCTTCCTGGACCAAAATAGCCTTGTAGAGGCCAGAACACAGGGCATGCCCTGAGGGGTCAAAACTGCCTTTCTAAAGGCTTCATCTGCTCCAGAAGAAGCCAGGAATGCAAAGTAGCCCTGCCTAGAGGCTCCATCTATGGAGATGACCCTGGCTTTGGAGACACCCTAAGGCTGGTCAGTCAATATCTAGGCTCTGAGCCTGTGCCCTTGGAACCCCAGAAATTGCCACAAGACCACCGAAGTCCTTGGAGAAGACCCCATCAAAAGCTTGGCATTTGCCTTGGCACAGATGGGCTTTCCCAGCACATGCTGCTTCCTTGAGCAGAGCCCCTTTACGAGGAGTATGTCCCCACTGCACTTTCATTTCTCAGTCCCCTTTCACCTCCCCAGCCTAGCTTCTAAAGCAGTCGATAAATTCATTCAACAGATACTTATTGCGTACCTACTTGTGCAAGGCACTATTCTTGGGCTGAAGAAGAATGTGTGAGAGGAGGGAAGGGTCCAGAGGAGCCCCTTGAGCCAGCCTTATATCTCCCACCATGGCCAGCCCCTCTGAGGACATTTCTGCATATATTGCCCAGGGATGCCCCCCAGTTGGGACAGGTTGGCTTATCAGTTGCCCTTAAGACACATATATTTAGTTGCTTAACTGGTGCTTGCCAGAGGCAGGACAAGACATGGAATAGTGTTTGCCTTGTAGGCAAAAAAGTGGGAAGGAGAGAACAGGGAGATCCCCAAGGCAGCACCAGCCACATCTCCCCCAATGCAGCAGCACACGGTCCATGCACCAGGTCTTACTGCAGTCCTGGGGGAGAAGCCACAGAAACTTTTTTTCCTGCCTTCTCAACCTGAAATCTCCTATTCTCTGGGCCAGGACTGGAGAGATGCCACTCATTGGACCACCTCGCTGTCACAGGAACCAGGTGTCCTGAGCATGCTGCACACACCTCAGAAGGAGAATTTTTGCTTTGAATTATGCACCTGCTTATAGACCCTGATTGTGTGGCTGCAAGGCAGGGTGAGAGTCATCAGGCTTAGTTTGGGAGGGAGGCAGGGTTTGTGGAGATCTCAGTCCCATGGATGCTTTGGTCTTTCAGGGTAGCAGGCAGTGCCACCAGAGAGGAGGGGAGCTGCAAAGCTGAAATTTAGGGCACTGATTCCTCCCTGTCCTCTTCATAGAAAATATCAATGTTTGTCTTGTCTGTCTTCAACCTACTTTTCCTTTTCACATTTTTCACTCTTCATGTGCTGCCTCTTCATGTAGGAGGCCACGGAGCATAGTGGAAATGTCCCAGAGGACGGTCAAGACTTGTGCCTGTTCACCTTGGCTAAGCCCCTAACTTTCCATGTGAAAATGGGCTAGACCTCTTGGGTCTCAGTTTCCCCATTTGTAAAATGAGGATAAACCAGATGTGCTCCAGGGTCTTTTTCCACTCTGCCATCCTGTAGATGTTCATTTTCTCTTATTTTGTTTTCTTGGGATCTTTTCCATCTGAGGGTACAGGAAGTGCCATGATCTGTTTCTGTTTTTGAATCCTGCAAGCACATTCCAAGACTGGCCTGAAATTGCATGAGCAACATCACTTTAAATAATTTTTTTTTCAAAAGCACCTTACCAACCAGCTGCGATGCTGTCCTCTTCCTTTTTACTCACGCCCTTCCTCTCTCGTCCCTGCGCTTCCCCACCTCAGTGCTCCGTGCTGTATGCGTGTGCTCTCTGTTCTTGTATACTCAATAAAGTGAAATAAATGTGTTTGATGCTGAACCACAAGCTGCCTTGGCATCTCTCTGTCTCTCTCTCCTTGGCTACTGATACAGGTTGGCATTGTGAAGGGCCAAAGCTGGCATGGAGAGATCCCAACGTAGAACACTTCATTCAACACTTCATTTGCAGCTCCCAAGGTGGTCCAGGTTCTGTAGGTACACCCTCAAGACAAAGTCCTTGCCCTCTGGGAACTACAGGCTAGTGCAGGAAGTGGGCAACAAAACAGGCACATAGAGACAATTCTAGAATAACAGACAAGGAAAAGCAAAGGAGGAGGAGATGCAGCATCTCAAAAGTGTATCACTAAATAAGGTGTCTAGTTGTGGCCTCCTTGGAGAGGTAGTTTTTTAGTTGAATGAGGAAAAAGGTCCAATAATTGAAGAAATTGGGTAAGCACATTCTAGGTAGAAAGCAGTAAGCTCACAGGCTCCAAGATATGGAGGGGCTTTATGGAGGAACAACCTCATCCTTCTCTCTTGCTGAAAGATCATCTACATCAACGTCTACAGGGGTACCTACTAGATAATGTAGGTAGTAATCTCCAGCATCAGCTGTTGCCCACCCCCTTACCTCAGGTTGCCCTTTTTCCAGGTATATTACCTGTCCTGTTCTTGACTTAGTTTTCTTTAATTTGACTATGTAAAAAATGGCAAGTTATTTTAAAGAAGAAACTATAACTTTTTCATAAATGGAAAATTAGTCATTTGTTGAAGAGAGGTCTTCAGAAAAATAAGTGCAAAAATACTCAAACCATAATCCTTTTAAAACCTATTGTTGTCCCTCAACTAGCTGAAGTGCACGTGTCAAATTTTGTTTTTTATTCTACCAAGTGACTCACCCAGACCACTTACCTTTATTACACAAAGTCCCGGAAGCAGGTAGTAATGTGGTGCTTTTTTCCTCAGTTTTCTGCTTATGTATATGCAATTTTTCAGAATTGAAATTACCGTCTGCATACTACTTTAATACTTCTTAAAATACTTCTTAAAATACTTCAGACTTAGTTCCTGAGCATTTCCTTTTCATTTCAAATACTAGATACTACTTTTTTTCTTTCAGATGGAAATAATGAAATTACACAGAATTCGATGCAAAAAAATCTACAGGCAGCTTTCCTGCCTGCCTGTGACTGTGCAGGTGCTTCTATTTTTCTTTCTCTTTTTTTCTTAACAGCTTTCTCCTTTCAAAATGTAAGAAAAATAATAAGGAAGAAGAAGAGAATAATTTTACAACTTTCTCTATACTCCTGTCCATTGCCAGAGCTACTGCCTCCCTAAGCTTTGTGAAATCCTTCCCTGAATTTTCTCTTAGCTCTCTGTCCCTCTGAACTTCTGGAATAGGACTTGGATTGTAAAACACTGAGACTCCACACACTCTGGATCTGTTGCTCTATCTCCCATAAACACAAGATTAGTTTCTGAGTGTTTGGGAATAATCTGGAGTTGGTTCATGTAGATCAGTGGTTCTCAAATGAGAGGTGGAACATGATTCCCCACCCCCAACCCCAAGCATTTTGCAGTGTTGAGAAATAGTTGTGGTTATTTTGGGGTGCTACTAGCATCTAATATGTAGAGACCAGGCACTTCTAAACATCCTATAATACACAGTACAGCCCCCTACAGCAAAAAAAAAAACCCTATCCTCAAAGTGGGATACTCAGGCCACTGTCTACAGCTTCCATTGTTGGGTGCCCTGGAATCTCTTAAAACATGGTAAACCCAACTGAAACAGGGAGCTTTGAAACCTAACCACATAGTGAGTAACTAAGACTGGGAATGGAAGGCTGGAGAGGGAGCAGGAAATGGAACTGACAGGACAGGCTGAGAATTTCATGCATGACTGTGATGGATGGAGTTCTGTCTCTGGTTAATCCTATAGCAGCTCATTGTGATTAACCATGACTGCAGGGTCCAGTGTAGTCTGTAATCAACTAAGGGATGAATTTTGACTGAGACAGATTGGGGTGTACAGTTGTCCCTGAGGAAGTGTGACAGACGAGGTAAGGTGTCAGCACAAGTACAAGAACAGACTGTCAGACATCGGTTTGTATCCTAGCTGCACCACTCTGTGTAATCTGAGTCTCAGTTGTCTCGTCTATAAATTGGGAATACTAAGTAGCATTAGTGTAAGGGTTAGAAATCTGATATGAGAGGCCTGCCTCTGATTTTGGACTTGCCTAGATAGTAGTTACCCCTTCCAATTAGCTAAACAAGTTCATTGCAATAAGTCGTATCGGTGCATATTCTTTGTTGAACCCAGCACAGGGTTAGTTAAAATAATAAGCCATTTATTAATACAAAATTGCTGTCATTAATGAAATGCATAATACATGTACTGTGCTCATCGTTTGTGCCTGGCTTAGAGGTAGGTTCCGGGGACAAGCAGTTTCCTGGCTCAGGGCTTGTTTATAGCTAGAAGCTGAATGATTTTGGCTAGAAGGACCGATGTGGTGATTACTGCTGCTGAGAAAGGGGGCTGAGTTTCCGAGGCTCTCCCCGAGGGCTGAATGTGGTTGGAAGCTGACACTGGGTAATAACGAATCAGAGGTGACACTGCCACTGGATGGAGATTAGCTGATCCACATCAAAACTAAGGGTCTGAAACTGACTCCTGGGAAGTCACGACCTCGACCCTAGCTTCAGTGACCAGGACTAACTGAAACCAAAGAATCAGAACTGGTGGTTATGTTTCTGCAGTAGGATATGAAATGCGTCTTTCGATGGAACTTGTTACCCAGTTTCGGTAGCAAAAGGCAACGCTTGGTGGGGCGAAACCTGCAGGCACCGACGTTCCGCCCACGACCTAGTGCTCAGCCGGGCGGCTTTCCCCGACGCTCCCTTCCGGCGCCAAAAGGTAGAACTTCCGGTGCGTTTCCGCGGTTCCTGGTCGTGTGGCGAGTTCGGAAAGGGTGCAAAAAGGTGCTGTTTGTGCTCTGTTCAAGTAGTGTGTAACGGAACAGCCCTTTTGCCCATCCGCGGGCGCGGAGTGCCCTGAATTAGGGCGTGTCGCCGGGCGGCTCCTTCCCGGGCTGTTCGCCCCCGGTGGGCCCCGGGTGTCGCTGCAGGCCTTTCTCCCTGAGAAACCGTCACCGAAGACAACGTCGCCAGGATTTTCTGGGGGCACTTGGGGTAACATCAGTTTCCCCCTAACTTTAGAATCAAATTCTAAAGGCCACACCTCGGGGTTATTCCTATCCTGGTATCGCCCTGCTCTCTCGAACTGCGGGTAAGGTTTTCTTCTGAACCGAGTTTGTTTCTCATCTGAAGAATGATGTTACCGGATCCTGAGTTCTTAAGTTGTCTGAGGTACAGAAAAGATGGCGACTCTAGTCCTGACTCTAGACCCAGTATACATTATTAAAGTTGACACAATTCAGCCTAAGGGAGTCAGGATCTGTGTGCTGCTCTCCAAGAAATAGGCATAGGTTCTATTTAAACAATTTTTTAAAAAGACTTATTTATTTATTTATTTACTTATGCATATAGAACTGGGGTACAGGCCAGAGGTACAGAGGGTGAGAGGATTCACCAGAGACAGAGTAGGGAGCAGAACAGGCAGGTCTATGAAGTACACTGCCGAGGGGAGCAGCGGGCCGGTCAGGAAAGGTCTGCCGCGCCTTGTGGGTCACCTCCGGGGCGGGGATCAAACTCATACTGAAGTGGCTTTAGCTTCTTAGTGCTGCGCTTTAACCCGCTGTGCCACCAGGGAGGGCCCTAAGCAGGTTATTTATTTATTTATTTAAAGATTTATTTATTTATGCGTGCAGAACTGGGGTACAGGCCAGAGGTGTGTTGGGTGAGAGGATTCACCAGAGACAGAGTGGGGAGCTGAACAGGCAGATCCACTGAAATATACTGCTGAGGGGAGCAGCAATGAGACAGGAGAGGTCTGCTGTGCCATGTGGGTCACTTCCCTGGCCGGGGATCAAACTCTCGCTGCAGTGGCTTCTGAGAGCTTCATAGTGTGGTGCTTTAACCCATTGTGCATCCAGGGAGAGCCACTATTTAAGCAGTTTTAACCCAGCATAATTAAAAGGCCGGTGTACTTTGCTTTCTTTCCTTTTTTATAATATAATAGTTTATTTTTATATCATTTTGTACATTTTTTTCTTCTCAGTTGTAATCCCCGTGGGCTTCCCTTCACCAAGTCACCCATGTGCCATCACCATAGTGCTTTTCTTTTTTTGAAGGCATTGCCTCTCCAAACTCCTGATCTCCTTGGACTTGTAACCTCTTCAAGATGGATTCCATATTAGCCTAGAGGGTTGTTAGCCTAAAGGCTTGTTAATAGTACAAACTTTATTTCATCCAAAGTATGTATGGGGGTGGGAGGTGGTTTCTTCTTAGAAATAGGGACAGTCACTATCAACGTGTAGATACGTGACCTTGATTCACATCTTCAGTGGAGAAAAATGCTACTTTCTACTTTACTTGACTTGGCAGTCTTAGCCTGAGTTAACGTTCCTGAGACTCATCTGATCCTGCCTCCTGCCTAACACAGTTACCATGCTTTTACACTAAATAAGCAAAATGTCTAATGTGTGCCAAAGGTACAAAAGATTCAAGTCTCATAGAGGTGACAACCTTCTATTACACAAATGCAAAATTGTGGCTGTGAAATGCCAAAATACAAAGTACTTTGAGACTGTATCATGGGAAACCTGACCTAATCCCACATCAAAGATGCTTTACCAAGGAGGTAAAGGGTCTGAACAGCACAGCATAACAGAGAGGTGGAGGGGGAAGGAACAGAGATAGTGTTAAGACATGAAACTGGCTGGAGGGTTGCCAGGGACCAGCCCAGACCCACCTGGTTGGTAATGGTGAGAATTTTAGCTTTTCAGGATTGTAGGAAGCCAGTCAGATGGTTTCACCTGTGTTGGTGACATGCTCAGCTTGGCACTTTGAAAAATTTTGTCCAACTATCTGGATGCAGAGTGAATTGGAAAGGCAGGCACTGTCTGGATGAGGGATACGGTAGTTCTGATTAAGGAAGTAAATGAAAGTGGATAAATGAGACTTTCCACATTCTAGGGCATCTTTGTTGTGCCAGGCCACATGTCAGCTGCTGAAGATTTAGTGAAGAGAATTACAGGCTGGTGAAATTAGAATGAAGGGAATATCATTATCAAGGAGGAGCACACAGATGCCACAAGGGAAAATAGCTAATTGATGAGCAATTATTCTAAATGCAGTAGCTGTTCACTTAGCAGATACTTTACTCACTACCTCCTGAATTCAGCATTGGAAATAAGAAGATGATGATATAAATTATTTAGAGCAGTGACTTTCAGACTTTTTTTTACTGTGACCTACAGTAACATACATTTTATGGCATGATCAAGAATACATAAAAACACCAGAGATTCAGAAAACAATAAACCTTTACTACTGGTTATGTACTCCAACTTTTGAAACACTCCATCCTTTTCATTTAAAAGCACTAACCCTCTAAATTGATTTCTTAATCCATTAATGAGTTACTGTAGTTTAAGAATGATGTTGATGTAGAGTGGAATCCTTTGTAACTTTTGATTTCACATGATAACACATGCCCTTAATGTTTCAGAAAAAGGATTAGTTTTCCTATTGTATTGAGTTAATTGGCACCTGGTTCTTCTTTTTGTGAAATTTTGGGTCTTGTTTGTATCTCTGGCCATATTTGGAAATACATAGAGGACAGGGACTCTTAATTTTGGATTTTTCTTTCAGTACCCAGCAAAGATCCTGGCACAGTGCAGGCACTCAATGGTTATTTGTTGAATTGAATAGATATCTTGGGGTTAGAAGGTTAGATGATTGGTTTAAATTAATTCATACTGGCACCATTCTTGTACATACCACAAATATGGTATTTGCCAGATAACAGAAGTTTTATCAGTATGTCCTCATGGGTAACTGAGAGGTAGCTCAAATACATATATTAAGGTGGCACCTTGCCATCTGATTCCATTCTGGGCAAGTGTTCTGAGCTGCTACTGACTTTTAGGAAGTTGTTTTACTCCCTTCACTTTCAATTATATATATGGAAAAAAAGGGAGGTTTGTGGCTAAAAGGTTCACCACCACTCCAACCTTTTGTGAATTTTATTTTTCTGTCCATATTTGGGCCTTCTCGAGGCTTGTGGGAAGCTGCATGCTTCCTTGAGACTAGCAGTAAGTTTTAATTTGGAATGAACCATCCAGGCTTCTCTGCTTCATTCTTTATTAATTTTGAAAGAGAAATCTGAAAACAGATCCAAATGGACAGCAGAAGGAACACTGGTACCTAGATTCTAATTTGTGTGGCCTTGTATGACCTTATGGACCTTGAGTATGTCCTCTTGAGTATGTCTTTTTAACGATGAAATGAGTGTTCTTGTTCACTCAAACAAACCCAAAATCCTCCTGAGTCTCATTTTCTCATGTGTAAAACAAATGCAGAGCTGTGGTGAGGATTAAAAGAGATAATCATATCAGGTGCTAATAAAATATCTGAGACATAAGGAGTGCTCAACAAATGAAGTATCCTTATCTAAGTTCTGATTAACTGTTTTTTTGTTTTTTTTTTTTTCAGTTCTGGAAGATAAAAAGTGTACTCCTTTTTGGTCATCTTATCACTGGTCCCATGGCTGCCATGCAAATGGACCCTGAACTTGCCAAGCGACTCTTCTTTGAAGGGGCCACCGTGGTCATCCTAAATATGCCCAGGGGGACAGAGTTTGGGATTGACTACAACTCCTGGGAAGTGGGACCCAAGTTCCGGGGCGTGAAGATGATCCCACCCGGAATCCATTTCCTCCACTATAGCTCTGTGGACAAAGCCAACCCCAGAGAGGTGGGCCCTCGTATGGGCTTTTTCCTTAGCCTGCAGCAGCGGGGGCTAATAGTCTTGCGCTGGAATGCAGTCCAGGAAGAGGTGGACCTAACTCCAGCCCCAGAGGCTGAAGTGGAAGCCATGAGGGCCAACCTCCAGGATCTGGACCAATTCTTGGGACCTTATCCATATGCCACCCTCAAAAAGTGGATCTCACTCACCAACTTTATCAGTGAGGCCACAATGGAGCGGCTGCAGCCTGAGAACCGGCAGATCTGTGCCTTCTCAGAGGTGTTACCCGTGCTGTCCATGAAGCACACCAAGGATCGGGTGGGGCAGAATCTACCCCACTGCGGCACTGAATGCAAAAGCTACCAGGAGGGCCTGGCCCGGCTGCCTGAAATGAAGCCCAGAGCTGGGACAGAGATCCGCTTCTCAGAGCTGCCTACACAGATGTTCCCCGCAGGTGCTTCGCCAGCAGAGATAACCAGGCACAGCATGGACCTGAGCTATGCACTGGAGACTGTGCTCAGCAAGCAGTTCCCTGGAAACCCCCAGGATGTACTTGGTAAGGAGCACCGGCTCTTTGGGAGTGGGCCAAGGGAGGGAACGTAGTAGTGGGGCTTTAAAGGAAGGGGGTAAATCGTGACTTATCTAGTCCTTTAGTTCCTACACACAGCTAGGTGGCAGTCTTGCCCAGTATACTCATTAAAGATATAGACACTCAGGCCTTACCCCTGAAGACTAATTTAAGAGACTAGAGTGGGCTCCCCAGCAATTTATCTGTCAGTTTACTTTGTAAGCAAACACTATAGTTGAACCTGACACAGACAGTCTTGTGTTTGGAAACCATCAGTGTGACCCATCCCCCTGTTTATAAGTTTTATAAAGCGTTTGGCCCACTAATTGGCCAAAGCTACCAGGAGGGCCTGGCCCAGCTGCCTGAAATGAAGCCCAGAGCTGGGACAGAGATCTGCTTCTTAGAGCTGCCTCAGAGTAGGACTCCTGGTTCTAGGTCTAGCTCTGCCTCCTCAGTTCGCTCCTGGCTGTCTCAAAGTGTTGGCACGCTCCTGGCTTAGACCAGAACAGTGATTCTTGCTATTAATTGTTAGTTTTTATTGTTGTTTCTCCTCCCTTTACTACAAAAATTATATTCATCAAAGAAGAAAAACAAGAATAAAGTTACTTCAAAGCACCACCTAGGAATAACCGTGTTTTACAGTGTGGTGTATTGGTGTATTTTTTTTTTTTTTTTAGATTATGCATACAGACCTGGGGTACAAACCAGAGGTGCAAGGGTGGTGAGAGGATTCACCAGAGACAGAGCGGGGAGCTCTGTCAGATTGATGAAGTACACTGCTGAGGGGAGCAGCAGGCGGGTCAGGAGAGGTCTGCTGCGCCGTGTGGGTCAGCTCCAGGGTGGGGATTGAACTTGCACTGAAGCAGCTGTGGCTCCCTTGCAGTACTGTGTCCTTACCCGTTGTACCACCAGGGAGGGCCCATTGTGGTGTACTTATATCTTTTTTTTTTTTTCTTTTTTTCTTTTTGTGACCTTTTAGTTTTTTTTTTTTTAAACTCAATTGTATATGCTTCGATGTATATATTTTTTCAAAAACAAGATTATTGTATGTTATTTCATCATCTGTTTTAATATAAACATTTTTCCATATCACTGAAACAGCCGCTCCTTTTTTGTGGCAACTTATTTTCCATATTGATCAAGCCAGTCTTTGTTGATGGACCTTTGAGGTGTTTGTATTTCACTATGGTAAGGGTAGCCTAAAACATTTCCTTATGAGTCCTTCAGCACATGTATAGAGTTGAAATGACTGGAGTACAGTGTGCATTGGCAGAAGTCTATGTGCATCCTCATCCCCAGAGGAAGCTGTTGACGTGGTAATTTAGCAAAGTCCTTTTCTAACTGGATAGCTAAAAAATGATATTTTACTTCATTTTATATTTCTTTGATTACTGGTGACAGCAAACATTTATATCGTTTACAAATTGCCCCAGTATTTTTTTTTTTCTATTAGAAGGCCAGTGAGAAGTTGAAAATAGGACTTTTTTTATCATTGACTCAGCTGATAAAAAGGGATATTTTAATGGGTACATTTTAATGTATTACACAGTATTTTCATTTAATAGTGAAAGCTTAGAATTCTCTCTTAAGAAATGAACAGAAATCCTGTTTCCTGTCTTTTTTTTTTTTTTAAGATTTATTTATTTATTCATACAGAACTGGGGTACAGGCCAGATTTGCGGAGGGTGAGAGGATTCACCAGGAACAGAGCGGGGAGCCAAGCAGGCAGATCAACGAAGTATACTGAGGGGAGCAGAGGGCGGGTCAGGAGAGGTCTGCAGGGCCATGTGGATCTCCTCCAGGGCAGGTGGGATCGAACTTATGCGGAATTGGCTTAAGTTTCTTAGTGCAGTGCTTTAACCCGCTGCACACCAGGGAGGGCCCTTCCTGTCTCTTAAACATTTCAGTTCTTTAATCTTATGGACAGTTCTTTTGCAAAGATGACTATATCTTTCAACAGCTCTTTAAAATTATTTCTGATCTCACTTTAATTTTATACTAGCTCAGAAATGCATGAATTTACATAAATGCCCTCAATTCAAAGAATAAGCTCATATTTTCAGCAACTGTAAAAGTAAATCATTAACCTCTAACATTTCGAAAATAGTGGTTGTACTTCTACACAAGTCAAATCAAATCACACAAATTCAATTTAGTTCCACAGGTCTTGGGGTAGGGAACTTGTTTTTTCAGGTCTCTGAAGGCGACAAATACCAAGCTTTTAAGGCAGTAGTGGGTGCATCTGTTATTTTGATGGTCTGAGTCTAGATTACCACAGAAGCCCTCATTAAATTTGAAGCCAGATAGAGTGTCTTTGATCAGCAACAGTATATCTTGGCAGACAGAGACCTAGTTGTCCAAGGACAACAGCATCTGGATCATCAGGTCTCTTTGTTTGAAACAGGCATCCAGTGAAAATGTGCTCCTCTGATTAATCTACACCCATCAGTAAAGAAACTAAGACATAAAGAGATGAAGTAACTTGGCAGGGTCATACATAACTGTGAAATGGTGGAGCTGACATTTGAACCCAGGCAATTTGACTCCATAGCTCATTCTCTTAGCCACCAAATGGTGTAATAGGGCTTATAACACATATCCCTGTGATTATAAAAAAATGCAAATCTTCCTGGCAGGCTAACTCTGGAATAAGTACTCACTAATTTTCCTGCTCTGGGACAATCTAGATCTGTTCCCACTCAATAGGAAATCTGTTTTATCTTGTCATTGGATATATTGCCGAACATTGCCTGTGTGACCTTGGGCAAGTCTCTTGACGTCATCTGTAAAATAAGACAAATACACCTTTCCTGGCTGCTTTGTGGAGTCAAGCTGTGGATTATGTGGTGTAGTGCAACATTTCCCTAATTCTGGAGCAGACATGTTCATCAGAATCACCTGGGAGCTTATTAGAGCACAGTTACATTTGCCCATCATCTATCCTCAATTAGGATCTTTGGGAGTGAGGCTTGGCAGCTTTATTTTTTATTTATTTATTTATTTATTTATTTATTTATTTATTTATTTATTTTTAATTAAAAAGTTTATTTTTACATCATTTT